GAAGAGCGGGCCTGATGGGCCTGAGCCTTCGCCAATATTAATAAAGGCATATTATTATTATTATTATTATTATTATTATTTATTATTATTATTATTATTATTTATTATTAATTATTATTAATTATTATTATTATTATTAATTATTATTAATTATTATATTATTATTATTATTATTATATTATTATTATATTATTATTATTTTATTCATTATATTATTATTATTATTCATTATTATTATTATTTTATTATTATTTGTTATTATTTTTTATTATTATTATTATTATTATTAATTATTATTAATTATTATTAATTATTATTATATTATTAATTATTATATTATTTTAAATTATTTATTATTATTAATTATGTATTATTATTACTTATTATTATTATTATTATTATTATTTATTATTATTATTATTATTATTATTATTATTATTATTATTAATTATTATTATTATTATTATTATTTATTATTATTAATTATTAATTATTAATTATTATTATTATTATTATTATTTATTATTATTTATTCATTATTAATTATTAATTATTATTATATTATTTGAGGCTGTACTCACATTCAACGGTTTGATGTTTAGTAACTAAGCCGAGTACTATTGAGTAGGACGTTGATTTAATACAGTATACCAAGAAGACTATTGCCAATACAGGTATACCAAAATGGCATAGTCTTCTTTAAAAAAAAATTCAACTCAGGGGCATAATAGCTGCCAGACTACCCGCGGTTCCAGAGCGCCGGGTTTCAGAAACCTTTCAAGCCCTGGGGACTGTTTCAGCGCAGGCAGGTGCTTAGGCCTTCGGGGGCAGCAACGGCACTTCGGTTTTCGCGGGTTCGCCTGACCGGGCCTCGCTACACGTGCAGGCGGAGGCGACCGTCGCGCAGAGGAACACAGGGCCTGCGTTTGCGAGTGGTCATCAGAGCAGGAAGACCGGTAGCGGAGGGAATTAGCAAGCTGGTAGATTCAAGCCAGCCAGTGGGGGGAACTGGTCCACGTGACGGAGAAGAACACGAGACGAAATTGATGGGTGGGAGCAATGTTCGTTCGTGGCAACAGAGGGAATGGATCTCATTAGAAGCGACGGTCTTGACCACTATAGTGCGATGGTGTAAACGGTTAACGTACCAGACTGGTGTACCCAAGCGAAATTTTGCGGTTGGTCCGACGGAAGAGCGGGCCTGATGCCGGAGTCCTCGCCACAATAAAAAGGCAAATTCAGTTCAATTCCAATTCATAGTTTACACACGCCCGCGTATACCCACACATGGCCACACACACACAATCTCACACACAGCTTTACTCTTTAAGACCATTGTGTATTCGAGGCATATGACTACAGTGCTCGTTGCTGTTGCCTTCTACTGAACGCACAACGAAAATGTTGATACGATGCGCGAATGTACGTTATCGTTGAAGGACTGTGGATGGATGACGTACACAATTGTTTGCGTGACAACAGAAAAAGTGGCAATGAGGCTCGAACTGCATGGTTGAGAACAGAAACCCGTAGTCTAGCGGCCCCTTGACGTTGCTCTGGGCGATGCGGCGGAGGGCGATAACCAGTGGCATTGCTCTGGCGCCTACTGAACGCAGCATCTTTATCACATGTACCTGGCACTTGTCTTCTTCGCCCGACATTCACTCACAGTACCTTCCTCCCTCCCCTCCCACCTTCGGCCACGCGAAGGCGCCGGCGTCGGCGACGCGCCCTTTTACACGGGCGTCGGCCTCTGAAAGGGCTGCGGCGGGCACGGGCGCAGCAATTAACCCAAGAAGCCGAGACAAGAACGTGCGCCCGCCACGGCAGGCAAGGCAAACAGCAAGCAAGCGGCGGTCGGCAGCGGGTAGCAGCAACAGGCGCGTGCAGCCAGCAGCGGACCGCCGTTTCACAAACAAGCAGCCACGATAAGAGAAATAAAATCTTCGGAAGGAATAGAAGATAATTCACGTGTCGCGCAGGTTGGCACGGGCGCGGGCGCGAGCGGAGCGCGTCGGGTGGGGAGGGGGGTCGGGGAGGGGGACGAGGCGGAGGGGGGGCGTCTGATTTACGAGGGCAGTGTCTACTGAGAGGGCCCCGTGCGGCAGAAGCGCGCGGCGCCGCTCTGCAGCGCGGCCCAAGCAGAGCGGAATTCATCGCAGCGGATGAGTTACTGCCCCCACACGTTCGGCCCCAACCGTAAGGGTTTCGTGCCGGCCTCGCGACGCACAGCCTTCGAGTAGCGGCCACTTCCTCGTAGCACAGCCTGTGCGCAGTCACACACAACCAATTGGGTAGCCTTCTCTTCTATTAACTAGTTTTGTATGTCAATTGTAACTTTTACTAGGAAATAAACGAAGCACTTCAAGGTGAATGGAAACTTATAATCCTCTTTATCATTCAGTTATTAAAACTTTAACTTTGCCGGCAATTAACAATTGAGAGACCTCTTCGTTTAATGTCGTAAAAACAATTTCGCTTAAACTGTCAGGTTAAGAAAGGGTAACATCAAACAATTGAATGCATTTTGGAGATATGTTTAATTACGTAAGGCCTCTCAAAATTCAGCGCAAGATGCGCCGCCCCCCCTAATCCTTCGGGCGCGCACGCTTAAACAACGCGCATGCTTATTTCAAACACTGTGACATGGCTGGCTTCAATAGTACCGCTACACGCCGCCTGAAATCACGTCATTCCATATCACTTATCATGCTTCCCCATCGTTTGGCTTTCCTTCGCCTATATTCAGAAATGAGTATGGGTACTCGTTACAAATTCTTCGTATTTCAATACCAGCTATACGTTTCTGGACAAGCTCATACCAGGAGGCAATGATTCAACAGAACTACCTAAAACCTTTCAGGGTAGCACGCAATTCTTGGTAGAGGGACACGCTCATAACAATGCACGTACATCACCGCTCTGTTCCGTTGTTTTCTGATTCATTATAGTCGACAAAATTTCGATAGATTCGGTGCACGCCGAATTCAACACATTTGATTTTAGCAGTGAGCGCACACCAAATAAAGGGAATAAACTATAAAAGCAGATCTCATCAGGGCAGTAGAGTTACTTGGAGGCCCGCGCTGCATCCTCGGGATGGGCCGTACGCCCCCTTCCTCCCGGGGCCTCCTCCGGCCGCTGCATGGCCATCAAAAGGAGCATCCGCGCTATTCCCACTCGTCTTTCCTTTTTTTCCGTTCGGAATAGGACGGAGCGCGGGAGGGGAAGACGCAAAAATTGTGAATTCTATGCGGACCTGTTTCTGGGGCGGTGCCTGCTGAAGCGCGCGCCCGGCGCGCGCTTTGCGACGGACTGGGCCTCTCGGCGGAGGCAAAAAGCCAACGCGCCACTCGGGCGGGCGGCGCCAAACTGGGAGAAAAAGGTCGGCGAGAAGGCACGGCCCCGTGGGGCGGGATGGCGCGGCGGGGCGGGGCGGAGCGGGGCGGGGCGGGGCGGGGCGAGCGGGGCGGGGCGGGGGGAGCGGGGCGGGGCGGGGAGGGGCGGGGCGGGCGGGGCGCGGCAGCGGAAGGGGCGGGGCGGGGCGCGGCAGCGAAGGGGCGGGGCGGGGCGGCGGGGCGCGGCGGGGCGGGGCGGGCGGGGCGGGGCGGCGAGCGGCTGCCGCTGTGGGCAGCTGCGGGCCTGGGGCGACCACGAGATTTCAGCGGCGCTGCCTGTGGCGCTGCCGTTTGGCATGAACGGCACGGCGGGCAGGGAATTGCGTGGCGCGAGAGACGCTCGCCTAGGGACGTGGGCGTCGGCTGAGGGGGGGGCGGTGAGGTGGAGCGCATATGGGCCGCAGGCCGCGGCGTTAGGAACTGAGCAGGGGGGATTGGTGAGGGTCTGTGTGGGGTTGGTGGGAGTCGGCGTTTGAGTCCGGCGTGCGGCGTCATGGGTGGGCAAATGGACGTGGAGGTGTGTGCTGGGGTCGTTCCATACTCATGGGTTGTGTGCGACTGCGGGGGGAGCTTATGGGTATGCGGTAACAGATTGTGCATAGGGAGTAAGCGTGGGAACGTTTTGATATGAGACGTAGGCGCTGGAAATGCTTATGGGAAGCTACTGCGGTGGAACGTAGGCGTGGAGGTGGGGGTTCGGGACGCACGTGGTGGATGAGGTGCAGGGATAGGCGTATGCCTGTGGTAATGAGCATGTGCCCCTCAGCGTGTGCCTCGACACGACAGAAAACTTTGCCACACTTTCAGTCCAACCACTTTAAAATTTAATGTACAACCTATTATGAATACCTGAATTCAAGTTTTCTAATATGGTCGCATAAAAAGGTGTAAGTTTGGCACAACTCCTCAGCCACACTAATGGACGAATGCTGGCATGGTCGGGTAAAGAATATTATTCCGGCTTTCGGCACATGCTATTGTGATTGTCCTCCGTCCCTCTCTGTGGTCGGGAACCTTCTTCGCGCGCTCCTATAATCGCTCTCTTCGCGCGTGTCCGAGACCTGCCACTCGCAAGCACGCCACCGCCCATCGCATGCCCCCCTCACGCCCAACCGCCGCTCCCGCGCGTGCCACGACATACCTCTTTTCTCCCTCTTCTCCTCTTCTCCTCCTCTTACTTCCTCCTCACCTAACCATACCTACTCTCCACCTTTCTTCTCCTGCTTCCTCTCTCTCCTCACTACCCATCCTACTCTTCACTGCTTCTTCTCTCCACCTCGTATTCCATCTTCCTCCTCCTGCCTGCCTACTACTATACGTTCTTCCTCTTCTACCAATCCTCCCTCCACCTCCTACCCATCTTTCTCCTCACTCCTACCGATTCACCTTCACTTCTACTCATGGCCTCCTCCTCCTACTACTACTACGTTTCTTTCCTCTTCTACCATCCTCCCTCCACTCTACCCATCCTTTCTCCTCACTCCTACCGATTCCACCTTCAACTTCCTACTCCATCCTCCTCTTCTACTACTAAGGCGACCCATCTCACTCGCCGCCTCCTCCTCTATTACTCAGCTTTCTTCCCTTAACCATCGTCCTCCTCCACCTCCTAATGAACTAAATTCCTCCCTCCACTCTAACCCACCTCCTCCTCCACCCCCTACTTTCCTTTTCCTTTCTTTCTCACTTCAGAAAAGTACACACGGTGGCGTGAACGCGCATTGCACTTTAAGTGCGTTCACAAAACTGCACAAATTTGCTGCTTGGAGAGTAACAATTGTGCTGCTGCCGCCCGCTCGGTTTGCAGCACCGACATCGAGTCCTCGCCGCGCGTCGAACCAGTCGCGCCCAGGCCTCGCCCGAGCTACGCGGCCTTCAGCGTCTAGATTGACCTGTTGCGCTGCGAGCGATAGCATCGGGATGAAGCGCGCGTCTATCTCTTGCCCACCCACGCCGCGGTGCCCGTCTTTCCCCGGCGTTTCACTTTCTTCGGCGTCAGGTGCCAGTGCCGGGTAATGTGAATAGTACCCGAAAAGCTGGCTAATTGTGAACAAATCTGATCATACGGTTTCTAACGGATGAAAGAGGTTCAGAATTCAACCGATTTTTCGCGAGGAGATAGTAGTAGGAGACAATATGCTAATGGAAAAGAAAATGGCAAACGGAAAAATATTGGACTCGAAAGGACTCGAAAATTCAGGTTTCGACAATGGATGTTAATAATAGTATCAGAAGATAAAATTGTAATAGGTGAAGTAGGGGTATAAGGTAGTGGAGGAAAATCCAGTAACGGAGGAGGACTTAGCAGGAGCAGACTGTAATGCAGGATTGTATGGTGGCAAAAACAAAAGGGAGGGAAAGGAGGAACATAGCGTCAAGAGGCGTGATCGAGGGCGAAGGCGGCGCCAGCGGTCGGCGCAGGGACCAGCCAGCGCCAAGTCCGCCTGGCCGCGCCGTCATCGTGTAAACATGACGAAAACATACAGCAGCCCGCGGTGGCGACAGCAAGACCTACGGCCGCCTTCCCAGTATTTCGCGCTCCCGTAGGATCCAATTTAGTCAAGTGCTTCTCCGTAAAATACACGAGGCACCCTCATGCAATATGCATGGGCCGGCGGCAGCGGCAGCGGCGGCGGCGGCGCGGCAACACAGAGGCCGCGTCGGCCGCACGGAGAAGACCGGGGGCTCGCGCTCCCGCAACGCGCACAGGGCGGCTCATAAGGATGATGACAATAATAATAATAATAATAATAATAATAATAATAATAGTAATAGTAATGATGTGCTTTGATTTTTAAATCTGTAAAATAATCCATTTAAATGTACCAATGAAATGAGAAAATAAAAGAAATAATAATAATAATAATAATAATAATAATAATAATAATAATAATAATAATAATAATACCGGGAACGGCAGAGTTAGCTCAGCGTTAGCATCGTAGCTGTCTCCAGAGCGACTCTGTTACTATTGGACACAGTGCTATGGACAAACACCACAGGACTTATGATTGTGTTATAAGTAGGTTGGACTTGTAAGACTTTTGGACGAAAGTTTTATTGGAAAAAAAAAAGGTTGGCCGAACAATTCTCAATGTATCCACCCGCACAAGAGCCATCGAGCAGCTGGGGTTTCACATCTCGCGCTGCACTGGCTTAGGGCCCTCAAGGCATCAATTGATGTCACTCGTCAATTGAGGGCCTAGGGTTCGAGTCCGACGGTGGCGAATTTTCGACAGAACATTCATAGCTGCGTCAAATTCAGCCGCCATCGGAGCCGTGCGCGATCTTTCCTTCCTCTTCCGATTTCAATCATCCACCCTTCTTCACGGTCTCTCTCCCTCGCTCCCTCTCTCTCTCTCTCTCTCTCTTTCTCTCTCAATGCGTTACACTACCTCACATGCGGGGAATCCAGTCGGGAGCTCAGAGCCCGTCGCGGCTGGGGCGGTGCGCCACTAGCGACTATACCCGGAGTGGGACCTTTCCGCGAACCGGAGTGTAGATCCAGCACGACTGGAATCAACGCCAACCCGTAAACGATGCACT